CCACCTGGGCCAAAGCAGAATTCCAGAAAGGAGATGACAGCCACGAACCCAAGCCACGAGCTCAGAGTCACTCTGGCTGGAGCCCCACAGGGCCACCCTCCCAAGCCCCTCCTAGCTCCTTTACACCCTCTGCCCTATGGAGGCTGCTGGGTGGCCCTGGAGGCATAGGGCAGAGGCAAGGGCATCTGTGGCTCTGGGACGGATCACACCCATGGCAGCTGGCAGACGACTTCTCTGCTGCTGGTCCTCCCCTCCTGCTTGGGGTTGTTGTAAACCAATGTCTGATTCATTCTCACTTCGTTTGACCAAATTTCAAAAGGGGCAAAAAACCAACTTGAAAAGTAGCAAGCAGATATAGCAAGAACTGCAAATTGAGGCTGGAGGGGTGGAGGGGAGACAGGCCCAGGGCCCAGAGAAGGACATAGGAAAGGCTGCCTGCACTTACTGCTGACATTTTATCTCAGGGAGTGAGAAGCATTAGTGGTATTGTGTTCCTTATGCTCTTCTTCGCATACCTAAAATCTGTTTAAAAGTTTTGGGCCAGTTGGGCGTGGTGGCTCATGCCTGTAATCCCAGCACTTTAGAAGGTCGAGGCGGGCAGATCACTTGAGGTCGGGAGTTTGAGACCAGCCTGACCAACATGCAGAAACCCTGTCTCTACTAAAAATACAAAAAATTAGCTGGGGGTGGTGGCGCATGCCTGTAATCCCAGTTACTTGGGAGGCTGAGGCAGGAGAATCGTTTGAACCCGGGAGGTGGAGGTTGTGGTGAGCTGAGTTCGCGCCATTGCACTCCAGCCTGGGCAACAAGAAAAACTCCGTCTTAAAAAAAAAAAAAAAAACATTGGCCAGGCATGGTGGCTCACAACTGTAGTCCCAGCTTCTAAGGAGGCCAAGGTGGGAGAACTGCTTGAGCCCAGGAGGTGAAAGTTGCGGTAAGCTGTGATGGCACCATGGCACTCCACCCCGGGTGACAAAGCGAGACCCTGTCTCAAAACAGCAACAACAGTTACATCAGCAAAAACCAGCAGAAAATCATGCCTCTGGGGTCCCTTCCCACCCTGATGCAGATGAGGTGTTCCCAGGTGCCCAGACAGATTAGTTCAGCCACAGAGTAAAGAGCTGCTTCCAGGGTCCTCCCTTTCCAGGCACAGACAGACACTGCCTTGCCATCCGCTTGCAGTTAAGCATCAGGTCGGCCAGCTGACTGCCAATGCCAAGCCTAACTCAACACCCAGCGCCTGGCAGAGCCCTCCAACCATGCACACTCTGAGGGGTGGATCACACAACATGGTTTCTTTGCCTACAAGTCTATCTGCTCTTTCCAAGTCCTAATAGGGTGGGCGGAATTCAAGATAAATGAAACTATGGATTGCCTTCCTGGAGATAGGGCCAAGACATTTTATCAAATTAGAGGAGCAAAGATCAAGGCCAATTGGTTGGCAAAGGCACAGCAAAAATGTGAAGTATGGGCTGGGCACGATGGCTTATGCCTGCAATCCCAGCACTTTGGGAGGCTGAGGCAGGTGGACCACCTAAGGTCAGGAGTTCGAGACCAGCCTGGCCAACATGGAGAAACCCCATCTCTGCTAAAAATACAAAAATTAGCCAGGTGTTGGTGGGCACCTGTAATCCCAGCTACTGGGGAGGTTGGGGTGGGAGAATCGCTTGGACATGGGAGGCGGAGGTTGCAGTGAGCAGAGATCGTGTCACTGCATTCCAGCCTGGGCAACAAGAGCAAAACTCCATCTCGGGGGTGGGGGGGAGTGAAGTATGAAGTTATCCAAGTATCTGGTGATCGACTTTTCTGTTAGTGAACTGGCCACATGCTGCATACACTCAGTGCAGATTTCAGGAGAAATCCAGCCAAGGCCGGCCAGGCATGGTGGCTCACACTTGTAATCCCAGCACTTTGTAAGGCTGAGGCGGGTGGATCACAAGGTCAGGCGATCCAGACCATCCTCGCTAACACGGTGAAACCCCGTCTCTACTAAAAAATACAAAAAAATTAGCCGGGCATGGTGGCGGGCGCCTGTAGTCCCAGCTACTCGGGGAGCCTGAGGCAGGAGAATGGCATGAACCTGGGGTGGGTAGAGGTTACAGTAAGTGGACATAGTGCCACTGCACTCCAGCCTGGGCAACAGAGCAAGACTCCATCTCAAAAAAAAAAAAAAAGAAAATCCAGCCAAGGCCTGACAGAACAGGACAGCACGTTTCTGCAAGAGCCATCGGACAGAGAGGGTGAAGCTGCAGCATGTCCAGTAGCATGAACACTTACTTCTCTTTCTGCGTCCACACCGGGTGACAGTTTTCCAGTCCAAGGGTGTCACCCTGAGCCAAAGGAGCCTCAAGTTTGCTGGCCATGCTAGGACTTAGAATCCTGTGCGTCTGTGGATCCCGCAGAGGTGTCTGAAAAGTCACCTGTTGTGGAGTGAGGAGGAGAGCACCCATTCATTAGTTCAAGCTGTTACAGCCACACCAGCAGTGTCCTGCAGCTCAGAGGTCACCAGGAAAGCAGGTCCTAGGGCAACCTGGCTAGCCACACACTGTAGAGGTCACACTTACCTTCATAGCTTTGGCCACGTTCTTGGGTGGCACATTTTCTTTCTGTGACACACGAAGAACAGACGATCTTCCGGTAACTTCTGGTGAGGAAAACAGGAAGTCGCAATTTTCTGTACTTTTTTCACTGCTGACATTTTTGTCGTTTAAGACCTGCAGACTCATTCTGGAAAAGCAGAACATGTTTGTGTCAGTGTGAGGGCAACACAACCACGTTGTCCAGACACAGACATGACAGCTGCCGCAGGGAGCACGACCCCTTCCGGCACAGGTGTGCTCATCGCTCTGGAGCTCACACCTCCCACACATGTCCTCTGCCAAGTGGGGCAGAGAAAGCCTCCGATTGAGTCCCCATCCTGCTTCAGAGACTCACTCTCCAGCCTGGCACGGGGAGCCATGGGCAGCACTGCTGCCTCCTGGGACCAAGAGCTAAAGGGCCTTCAGGCTAAGATGGTGAGAAAGAAAAACCAAGACCGCATAATCTCTACTGTTGTATTACCACGTCAGGCAGAGGCCAGGAGACAGGAAAGCCCTGGCCTATAAGAAACCCAGAAGAGCCAGAGGAAGCCGCGGTCTCCCCACCGGCCTCTGCGTGTGGCGTGAGGCAGGACCCGGCAGCAGAGGGCAGAAAAGCAAGACACCGGCTCTGGTCTGCTTTCTCCCACCGGGCTAGGCAGTGGGACAAGACCAGGCTGGGGTGAAGGCCCAGAGGAGGAGCTGGGAGACAGTGTGCGAACAAGGGACGTCCAGAGCTGAGCAGCAGGTGCCAAGGAGCTTCCATATCAGGGCCTCCAGTCAGTCCCAGGTTCCAGGGCCGCCCAGGTCCTCACACCAGTCACCCACACACTTGCCACCCTTTCTGTCTACAGCGTTCCCAGTCTAGGGAATGACGTAGGCAGAAAGGCTGCCAGAGAGAACCGAGTGTCGACCTGGGCAGGAACCCCACGGGCACCTGGTGGTGGTGGGGGACCTGGGGAGGCTTTGATTTGAAGAAGAGCAAAGTTGGGGAGGGTCCTGGAGAAGAGAGAGGGGCAGCCCGGGCAAGTCGGTGCTGCAGCTGGAGAAGCCCACTGTGGTGCTGTGTGTGGGTAGGGAAGTAAGGGCAGGAGGGAAGCAGGGAAACTACATGCTTCTGCAGCCTGAGCAGTAGAGGCCAGACCAGACCCGGGCCTGGCCACTGGCATATATGGGACTTACAGACGACGCTTAGATTTTTGGCCTGAATAACTGGGTACAGAGCAGGGGAAGGGCAGCTGGATCGCTGGGGGACACGCAAGCCTGGAACTCAGGGAGAAAGTGACTCGGAGGAAGCCTTCCGGCGGCCTGGAGGAGCGCGGGAGAGCAGCAGACCCAGCCTTGGTCAGGAGGGACCTTTACCGACTATGGAGCCCCGGGAGGGGCTCTGGGCAGAGAAGGGACCGGCCCCAGGCTGGTGCTTTGATGCTACCCTGGTGCAGAAGTGGGATGCGGCGCGGGGGAAGATGGAGCGGCGCAGCAGGTGCGGGGAAGCGGTCGGGGCCCAGGTGTCCGCCGCAGGTGGCCCAGATGGAGGTGGCCCCAGGACGGAGGCCGGAAGGGACCAAACAACCACAAGAGGGTCCGCGAGCTGGCAGCCAACAAAGAGCCAGGGTGGGCGGCCGAGAGGCAGGAAAGGGTCGAAGAGAACAAAGCACCTCAGGGCGCCCGCTCCGCCGTCGGGCTCGGCCTAGCCCTAACCGCCCCCGGCCACCGTCCAGGGGGCCCAGCTCGGTGGTCGGTCTAGGACCAGGTCCCACGACAGGGCGCGGGACGGGCCCCGGCGGCCCGGGGAGGAGCCGTGGGGGACGCTTCCCGGGGAAAGCTGCGGCCAGGGCGGGAGGGCGAGGGCCGAGGGCGGGGCGGGGCGGGACGGTCTCGCGCCCCCAGGACCCCAGCCTCCCCGCGCCGTGTAGACGCTCGTCTACCTGCCTGCCCGCCCGTTGCCGGGCTCTGAGCCCGCGCCGCCGCCGCTAGGAAGGAGGGGTCTGGGTCTGCGTCTGCTCCGCGCCGGGGGCAACCCTGGCTGCTGCCGCTGCCGCTCTTTCAGCCCTTGATGGCCGCCGGCGCGCCCCAGTTTCAAACGCCGACGGTTGCCTTTGCGCGGCCAATCAGCACGCGGCCGGGGGCGGGACCGCAGGAGTGCGGGGGTCCAATGGGAAGCTGTGTCTCGCAGGCCCCGCCCCCTCGTGCGCCGACGGTTCCGTTTCCGGAGTGGAGGGCCTGCCGGGGGTGTCTGAAGCTGAGACCGCTGGCTCGCCGTCGCCGCACGGAGTTCGGGTTCTGCAGCTGACGCTACTGGGCGGGGCTTCATGGCCAGTGACTGAGAGCAGCTGGCTCAGGCCTAAGTTTCCCCAGCTGTGCCTTGAGACCAGGTGCAGTGCCGCCTCCAGGGCGGGCCCTGAAGAGAGGCCGCACCCTCACGGGGACTGCATCTCCCAGAGCGCCCCGCGGGCGGCCGGGCGGCGGGACTCCATCTCCTAGAGTGCCCCGCGGGCGGCCGGGCGGCGGCTGCCGCAACCGACAGGTCGGGGTCTGGGCGCTGCGGCCTCTTCCCCGCGCCGGGGGCCGGTCCTCGCCGCACAGCTTCCCGGCGGCGGCGCGATGGACAGCCCCGAGGTGACCTTCACTCTCGCCTATCTGGTGTTCGCCGTGTGCTTTGTGTTCACGCCTAACGAGTTCCACGCGGCGGGGCTCACGGTGCAGAACCTGCTGTCGGGCTGGCTGGGCAGCGAGGACGCCGCCTTCGTGCCCTTCCACTTGCGCCGCACGGCCGCCACGCTGTTGTGCCACTCGCTGCTGCCGCTCGGTGAGGCTGCTCTGGCCGGCCAGCCGCGTCCTCTCCTGCGCAGGGCTTGCTGGGAGGTCAGGAGGAGGCCTCCACCAGCTCGCCGAGGCCCCGAAAGCGCCTGGGCGCAGCTGGGGAGAGGCGCCGGTCCTCATCCAGAGGGACCGCGGCGTGGGCTGAGCGCGCTTAGGGGCGCCGCCGGCGCTGGCTTGCAGGTGACGGGAACCCAAGTACAGAACCTTGGGCAGGGGATGCCCCGGCTCACCAAGTCCTGAACCGTCACATGCCTGGGGGTTCCAAGGCCAAGCAGCTTTGCTTGTCGTGGTTGCGGGCAGTGGCCAGGAGAAGGCAACTGTTGATTGAGTCCAACAGAAGGGGTCGGAGGGACTGTGTGGAGGGTAGCATTGCTGTAGGCCTTGGAAGGTGGGTGTGGAGAGAACGGGCGGATTTGGAGGCAGTTCCAGTTTGGGGGCGCCAGGGGGCAGAGGCTGAGGAGGGCCTCTGTGCAGGTGGGACCCTCAGAGTTGTCCGGGGGGTGTTGGGCTGGGCCCCAGGTGGTAACTGGGGCTCTGGAAGGTCCCCGTCTCAGCCGGTTGGATGACAGACAGGTGGGAGATGGGGGGTGCAGTGGCTGGAAAGGGATTTCAAGGGGGGACCTCTGGAGGACACGGGGGCAGACGCAGCTCTGGGAGGACAAATGACCAGTGGCTGGCCAGGTCTGCCGCTCTGGGGAAACAAGAGGGGTGACCCTCCACATCCCGGTGTGAGCATGCAGCTGCCCGGGCCTGGGGGAGCTGGAGGCAGGTGTGGGGTGGAGACGCCCAGGCCTGCCTCATGGAGAGGGTGGGCTGGGGGCCCACTTGGGAGATGGATGGGGCTGAGTGGGGCTAGGGCCCTGACCAGGCCGCTTTCGAGGGCTACTGGGTGGGTTTCTGTATCCCTTCCAACTGCACCCTCCCCAGACGCCTGTGAGGGACCACAAGTGAATCATGGCGGCCACACCTGGAGCAGACAGCACAGCTGACCTCACAGCTGGATGTCAAGCTCTTTTTATTTTTAACTTAGTTTGAAAGCTTTCAAGCTTTATTAGCTATTAGTTACCTATTTATTTATTTATTTATTTATTTATTTTGAGACGGAGTCTTACTCTGTCGCCCAGGCTGGAGTGCAGTGGCCCGATCTTGGCTCACTGCAACTTCATCTCCTGGGTTCACACCATTCTCCTGCCTCAGCCTCCTGAGTAGCTGGGACTACAGGCGCCCGCCACCACGTCCGGCTAATTTTTTTGTATTTTTTAGTAGAGACGGGGTTTCACTGTGTTAGCCAGGATGGTGTCAATCTCCTGACCTTGTGATCCGCCCGCCTCGGCCTCCCAAAGTGCTGGGATTACAGGCGTGAGCCACCATGCCCAGCCCCTGGTAACCTGTTGTTATATGTCACGTTACCTTGAAATGCCGTGACTGGGCCAACTCCAAATGTGGACTATTACTTTTTGCCAACTGGAACCTGCTAGTGCAACTCCTCACCGTCTCCATTGCTTATTTGGACCTTCAAATTGTCCCCGATCTGGCCAGCAGGGCTCTGAAGCTGGCCTTGTGTCCTCTGGACGCGTCCCATCATTCTTTGGCGCTTGCTTGCTTTCTCGCACACAACTTCTCAGCTCTGGGATGGGCCGCGTTTGACCAGCCTTCTCAGAGCCAGTGAGATTGAGAGACTGAGATCCTGTCCAGGCAGCTGCCCTGGGCAGGCCAGGGGTCAGCTCTGCCTGAGGGGACACTTCATTGTGTTTATTTTTCTCTTTCTAGGCTTTTGTAGTTTTTTCAATATTTACATATTGTATGAAACTAAAGCAGCAAATTAAAAACCTTTTCCCCTAATATATCCTGCCATTGCCACAGGCAGGGACAGAGTGGGCCGGCTAGGGAAGTGCAGAGTGGGTAAAACCCACTTACCCTGGGAGCTGACCCTGGAACCCGGGCAGAGGGCCAGGCCCAGGGCTGTGTGGGGGTGGACGGCGGCCTGGCACCCACTTTCTCCTAAGGCTCACCCTGTCCTTTGCAGGCTACTATGTGGGCATGTGCCTTGCGGCTTCAGAAAAGCGGTTCCACTCCCCCGCCTGGCGGCTCTTCTTGCTGCTGGCCGTGACCCTCCCCTCTGTCGCCTGCATCCTGATCTACTACTGGTCCCGTGGCCGGTGGGCCCGCCACCCACTGGCACGCACCCTGGCACTCTATGCCCTCCCACAGTCGGGCTGGCAGGCTGTTGCCTCCTCCATCAACACTGAGTTCCGGCGGATTGACAAGTTTGCCACCGGTGCACCAGGTGCCCGTGTGATTGTGACAGACGTGTGGGTGATGAAGGTGACCACCTACCGAGTGCATGTGGCCCAGCAGCAGGACGTGCACCTGACTGTGACGGAGTCTCGGCAGCACGAGCTCTCGCCAGACTCGAACCTGCCCGTGCAGCTCCTCACCATCCGTGTGGCCAGCGCCAACCCTGCCGTGCAGGCCTTTGACATCCGGTAAGAGTGTGGTGCCTGCGGGGGTGCAGAGGGGGTGCAGAGGGCGCGCGGCAGGCCAGAGCCAGGCTCTGGTGCCATGACCCCTGGGAGGTGCTAGGCGTAGCCGGTGTGGACTCCAGCACTCCTGGACTTGTGTGACACCAGGCAAGGTGTCCACGAGACACCCGTCACTGAGCCCTCCCTCATAGCCCTCCTTCGGGCCCCCCTGCACTGTTGGCCTCCCCTTCCACTCTCCCTGGAGTCGTCTCCCCCAGATTCTTGGCTGCACTCAGGACAGTGCAGCCCTCAGGCTGGACAGCTGCCTTGCTCCTAGGTCTGCCCCATGCCCAGGTTGGGCCGTCTGGCACTGGGTCCCTGGGCTCTGGCCTTAGGGCCATCTCTCCTGGTTGGTCCTGGTGCGACAGCTGCCCTGTCACTCCTTGGGGTATGGCCTCCATCTCCCCCTCCCTTCGCCCTGCAGAGGGCCCCAGCAGCTCTCCTCCCTGCAGGCTGAACTCCACTGAGTACGGGGAGCTCTGCGAGAAACTCCGGGCACCCATCCGCAGGGCAGCCCACGTGGTCATCCACCAGAGCCTGGGCGACCTGTTCCTGGAGACATTTGCCTCCCTGGTAGAGGTCAACCCGGCCTACTCAGTGCCCAGCAGCCAGGTGGGGGCCTGGGCCAGGTGGATGGGTGGGTGCCCACAGGTGTCTGCCTGGGCTCCTGGTGACGCTCCACCTGCCCGCAGGAGCTGGAGGCCTGCATAGGCTGCATGCAGACGCGTGCCAGCGTGAAGCTGGTGAAGACCTGTCAGGAGGCAGCCGCAGGCGAGTGCCAGCAGTGTTACTGCCGCCCCATGTGGTGCCTCACCTGCATGGGCAAGTGGTTCGCCAGCCGCCAGGACCCCCTGCGCCCTGACACCTGGCTGGCCAGCCGCGTGCCCTGCCCCACCTGCCGCGCACGCTTCTGCATCCTGGATGTGTGCACCGTGCGCTGAGTGGGCTGGGGCCTTGAGGTGACTCTGTGTCCCCCCAGCCACGGGGCGGGGAAGGGGGTGGCTGGGCCTCCTGGCTGGTAAAGGGCTCTACTTAAAGCACATGATCTGGAGCAACTCACCTCTGCCCTGGGTCTGCAGAAGGCTGAGGACTTTTGGTTAAAAGCAATCCTCATGAAAACACCCCACCCTGCTTGGCAGCCAGGGTACGAGTCCTGGGTACCTCCTCTTCGCCTCCCTTCTGCCCCCTTCCTGCTGCTGGGGGCAGATCCTGCACACACAGAACACAGCGTTTGTCCCCGAGCCATTCCCTGGAGACCCTGGGTCTACCCCAGGTGGTCGTCACCTGGGCCATTTGCCTTACTTCCCTGGAGCACACCCGCCCTCAGTTACATGCCAGACCCAGATCTGCATTCTCCTGCCCTGTCCTAGAGCTGGCCCCTGGCTGCCTGGAGAACCCTGGGTAGGTCCCAAGGGTGGGATAGAGAAGAGGGCACCGCTGTGGTGTGGGAGCAGTCCTGGGGCTTCCTGGTGGCTGTGGCCAGTTGAGGGCCATTCCTGGGTGGGGTGGCAATGGAAGGACAGGTCAGAGTGCCCTCATTTGTGGGGCTGCCCCTCAGGGGTTCTCATCCTGTCCTTGGTGCCTTCTGCTGCCCAACAAGTCCAGGGAAGGCCGAGGCCTCAGTCTCCTGGGTAGGGGTGGGGGTTGAGGACCAAAGTGCCATAGTGACATCCAGAACACAAGTCCACCAGGGTCCAGCACAGGCTGCCCACTCCCCCAGGGTCCCCCAGGCTCAGAAGGGGGTGCACGCCCCATGTGGTCAAGGCTCTGGTGGGTGTCTTGCCCAGTTCCTGTTGGTTCAAGGGGAGGGGAGACGTTGGCCAGGCCCCAGGCACAGCCCTGACACAGCCGTGGCTACTGGAGGGGCCCCACACCTGCGGCCCCAAAGCCCCTGGGCTTGGCTGTTTCAGGCAGTGGTGATGGACTCAGGTGGCCTGACCCTTGGGATTTGGGAGGCTTCCTGGAACACTCAGCAGGTGGAGGCAGCAGGGGCCGTGGCTGGGAGCCAGACCTACCCTTGATCCTGAGTTTTTTTTTTTTTTTTTTTTTTTAAGACGGAGTCTCGCTCTGTTGCCCAGGCTGGAGTGCAGTGGCGCCATCTCGGCTCACTGCAAGCTCCGCCTCCCGGGTTCACCCCATTCTGCCTCAGCCTCCTGAGTAGCTGGGACTACAGGTGCCCGCCACCGTGCCTGGCTAATTTTTTGCATTTTTAGTAGAGATGGGGTTTCACCGTGTTAGCCAGGATGGTCTCGATCTCCTGACCTCGTGATCTGCCCGCCTTGGCCTCCCAAAGTGCTGGGATTACAGGTGTGAGCCACCGCACCCGGCTGGTCCTGAGTTTTAAGGGCTGCCAAAGAGGGGCAGTGGGTTGGGGTTGTTTTTACTACAAAAGAAGTAACTTAGTTTTATAAAGACAAACCTATTGTAGCCAAATGACACCATATTTAATAAAATGTACTCTGAAGTGATGTACTGTGTTTTGTGTGGCCCGATATTAAAACCAAACTTTTGTCATAGTTGGAGAATGGCCTGGGGGTGATGGAGAAGCCACCTTAGAGGTGGAATTGTGCGCATGGCGTGCTTTGCTCAGAATAAGGAGGAAAAAACCCTTTGGTTGGGAGGCGGGTACAGTAGGAACCTTCTCTGATTTCTAGTTTGAGGACTCTGGGGTCTTGACAACCCCCAACCCAGGGCCATCTGCAGGAGCAGGGCAGGAGGGGCAGAAACACATCCTGGGGGAAGTCACTGTGTGGTCGCCACTCTGGCTCCTTCCAGATTCAGGAACTGACGTGCGGACACGTGGGTAGCCAAGGAGCAAGCAGCCTTTCCGGTTCACTTATGTTTGCAGCTGCCTCCTGTGAGGACACGAGGCTGTCTCTACTGACCTCACTGTGGGTCAGGGTGGCCCAGCAATTGCCAGCTGAGCACCTAGGGCAGACAAGGCGGCACCCGGGGTTCCCCACAGCACTGGGACCTCAGGTGATCACCCCAGCAACTGGACAGTGAGTGCTTGCTGCCGTTTTCCCCATTCTGCTTCTCGACTCACAGGACAGTTCTTGGGGAAATAGTACACGTAATCCTGTTGAAAGATATGACAGTGGGCTCTAGTTTCCTGCGCTCCGAGTGTCTTCAGATTCTTTCCAGTGTGGTGCTTTCACTAGCATTCTTTTGCATACACAACCAGGCACTGCTTTAACCAACGACAGAGACCAGTGAGCATCTACTGAGGGGCTGTTACAGACCCTGACTGTGCCAGGCCCTAGGGCTCCCAGGCACTTGGACTCTTTGGCTCTGTGCTGTTAACTTAGAGGAGACTTTATTTCTTCTGAAAAGTTACAGCCTGATGATGAGAATCGCTTGAACCCGGATAGCAGAGGTTGCAGTGAGCCGAGACTCCACTCCACTCCAGCCTGGGCGACAGAGTGAGACTGTCTCAAAAAAATAAGTTACAGCCTGCAAGGTGGCCATCCCTCAGACTGGAAAGCACAGCCTTCGGCCAAGACCAGAGACGGGCACTTCAGAGGAGGAGGAGGGGTTGGGGCAGGAGCTTTATGCTGAATGGGTTGGCTAAACATGCATATTCAGCAGGTGACAGGAGGATCTATGAATATTCATGAAGGCAGTCCTGACGCTTGCATCCTGAGCAAACATAATCCACATTCACTTTGGGGTGGAGACTTAACATTTAAATGTATTATGAGGTTCTACACAGGCCAGAAGTGGTCCATCACTGTGGGCTCTTATCTGGACCAAGTTACTGAAATCAGTCGCTTGCTCAATGAAACCTGTAGTTCCAATGAAACCTGTAGTTATAGCTAGTGGAATAGGGGCTGGGGGATCAGTTGGCATCTGGTGGAACTGCAAATTGGTTTTTATTGTTTTGAGACAGGGTCTCACTCTGTTGCCCAGGCTGGAGTGCAGTGGCACCATCTGGGCTCACTGCAGCCTTGACCTCCCAGGTTCAAGCAATCCTACTTCAGCCTCCTAGTAGCTGGGATCACAGGCACACACCACTACAGCTGGCTACTTTTTTTTGATTTTTAGTAAAGAAGTCTTGCTATGTTGCCCAGGCTGGTCTTGAATTCCTGAGCTCAAGCGATCCTCTCACCTTAGCTTCCCAAAGTGCTGGGATTACAGGTGTGAGCCACAGTGCCTAGCCTTTTTAAGTTTTTTGTAAGACAGGGTCTCGCTGTTGCCCAGGCTGGTCTTAAACTCTGGACCTGAAGCAATCCTCTGGCTTCAGCCTCCCAAAGAGTTGGGATCACAGGCATGAGTCATCATCTCAGCCACTGCACTGTTTCAATACTGCTTATCTCAAGGCCAGTGCTTGTTGAGCTACTAAGAGGAAAAGAAAAGCAGTGTGACAGTAAGAATATAGTTTAAATGTAGGGTGTGTGACTTAACCCTTGCCTGGCATGACCTTAGGTCCTATTCATAATTTGGTATCTTATTGCCACTGGTGTCCCACTGACCACAAGGGGGTCCATTCAGTTGTTGGGGGCTTAGGATTTTAATTTTTTTTGAGAGTTTTGCTCTTGTTGCCCAGGCTAGAGTGCAGTGGCATGATCTTGACCCACCACCTCCCAGGTTCAAATGATTCTCCTGCCTCAGCCTCCCGAGTAGCTAGGATTACAGGCATGCGCCACCACGCCAGGCTAATTTTGTATTTTTAGTAGAGACGGGGTTTCTCCATGTTGGTCAGGCTGGTCTCAAACTCCCGACCTCAGATGATCCTCCCACCTTGGTCTCCCAAAGTGTTGGGATTACCAGCGTGAGCCACCGCACCCTGCAAGGATTTTTAGTTTACAGTATTGAGGGTTATGGGATGCCCAGGGCCTGGGGAGGGAAGGGACAGGATGTGTCTGTCCTAGTCTTAGGATGACCTTTTCAAGTTCAAAAGGGGGCGGTGGGCGCACCAAGGCACAGTCCTGAGGACAGCAGGTGCAAAAGCCAGGTCCTCCGAAAGGTGTAGGGCCTGAGAGGGATCCCAAGCATCCCTGGGGCTCAGCCTCCTGGACCTGACCCCACTGCCCACTCTTTTGGCTGGTTCCACTCTCCCCTGCATCCCTCACGTTGTCCCCAACAGGAAGCTGTGGGAACCTGTTCCCAGGTGTATGTGTACCCCTGTTGGGGTTCTATTTGGCTGGATCCGCGGGGCCATCAGCTGCAACTGTGACGGCGGCGGGGAAGCGGGACGGATGGTGCGGATCTACAGGACCTCGCCTCCACGTGGGATCTCCCTGCTGAGCCAGGGATTCTTCAGGATACTTCAAGTCCAGTCAACTCCAGGCAGAGAGTGGGAGCGTCAGGTACCGGCGACACAGCGGAGGACGTCACGGGCGGGCAGGGAGGCAGCGGTATCCGAGACTAGCGGCGGAGACTAGCGGCTCAGTCGGTGGCCGGTGTGCGGCTAACGGCCAGGGCAGTGGGACCGGAAAGACTCAGCGTAGTGGTCAACTATCGCTACCTAAAAGGTTACTCCAAAACTTTAAGCGGCTCAAAACAGCAGACCGCGGGTACGCGCCTGCAGCGGCCACGGGACCGTGAGGAGCAGTCAGTACCGGCCATAGGCCACGCCTTCCGGGTTCCGGGTTCCGGGTTCCCGCCAGGGAGGAGACACGCCCCCACCTGGGCAGGGACCAAGCAGAGCCGCGCTCCACCCAGGCCGGGACCAATGGGAGATGCGCCACGACCCAGGCTGAGAAACGCGCCGCTTGCCCTTCCCCCACAACCTGCGCCGCGTCGCGCGCGGCCGAATCTCCCGCCAAAGCTGCCCCCGCCCGCCAAGGCGCGACCTATCAGCGTCGCAGCGGCCCGCGGCGGCCCGGCCGTCTCAATCCCGCGGGTGGAGCTCAACCTTTTCCTTAGGCCTTTCCTCAGCCCGCGGCGTCCCTCCGGCTCCCGAGCCGGGAGCCAGGCAGTCGGGCTTCGCGGCTGCCCGCGGTTCTGAGGTCTCGCCCCAGCCCCAGTCGGCTGGCGAGGCGCGCGCAGCCGAGTGGACCCCCGCGGCTTGGCCCGATGGTTTCGCCCGACCCGGCGCGCGCGGGAGGCCGAGGGGCGGGGCCGGCGCCCATATAAAGGCGGTTGGGGGCGGGGCGCGCAGAGGTTGTGAGCGCCGGCGCGGGGACGCAGGTCGCTGCCTGAGGTCCGGTTCTTCCCTTCCCTGCTGTGCGCGCCCGGCCCGCGCCCCCGCCGCCTCAGCCCCGGCCCCGGCCCCGCCCCCGCCCTGCGCGCCTGACCCGTGCTGCCATGGCCTGCCGCCCGCGAAGCCCGCCGAGGTATCAGAGCGGCTGCGACGGTGACGCCAGGTGAGGCCGGGCTGCGCGGCGGGCGAGGGAGCGCGTGCTCCGTGGGGCGGGGGTCGTGCGGGGCCGGATGTTGCGGGACGGGGGTCGTACGGCGGTCCCCGACCTCCCGAGCCCCGCCGACCGCGTTCCTCCCCGCAGCCCGCCGTCCCCCGCGCGATGGAGCCTGGGACGGAAGCGCAGAGCCGACGGTAGGCGCTGGAGGCCCGAAGACGCCGAGGAGGCCGAGCGCCGCGGCGCCGAGCGCAGACCCGAGAGGTGGGCACGGGACCCGGGGGTCGGGGCGCGGTGGAGCCCTTGACGGGGCCGCGGGCTCCAGGGACCTTGTCGCGCTCTCTCGGTGCCGGGATCGGCCAGGTCGGCGCCCTGCGTCCTTTTACCTTTGTCTCCGCGCGGCCCCTGCACTGGGGCGCCCGCACCAGGCCTCGCGGGCGCTGGAACACTCCGGAAGCCTTTTCCCAGGGTGGGAGTCTTCTGAACTGGTGTCAGCCCGAGTTGGCCAGAGTCTGTGTGGTGCTCCCGGGAGAGGTCAGGGTCTCCGACGGGCTTCTCGTGAGCACGTGGAAGTCAGGGGACACCCGAGTCCCGACGAGAAGTGAGTTTACCGGGTTCACCTGCTTGGCCATTTTCTAGGTTAGGCGGTGTGCAGGGAGGGTCGCGATGCGAGCGAAAGGAGGGCTTGATAGGGGTGGGACAGCCGAGGAGGGTTTGGAGGAAGTAAGCAGGGGTGCCAGTGGTCATAGTGGCGGGGCTTTAAGGGGCTATGGTTAGAGAAAACTTCTCGAGGGGTTTTGTGTGGGGTGGTCCGTCCCGCATTGGGGGCTTGTTGCTCCTAAGTTTCCTGAAAGGCATGGTGACTTGGCCGAGATGGAGCAGTGAAGGTGGGAGGAAATGCACGGTTCAGGATAGACTTCTGAAGGCAGGACCAGTGAGACTTGCTGATGGGTTGGGGATGGGAGGCGTGAAAAGAAAATAAAAACTCGGACCCAAAACCACTATACCAAAAGGAAAAAATTAAGCTGAAGGTGGAGTCATGCAAGAAACTACCTTTGCGTTTCCTTTTGTTTCTAAGCAGATAGCTACAGATAAAAGATGAAGTGTCTCCACGGGTGAACTCTGTTCACCTTAAGTGTCAACTTACCGAGCGCACGAGGAATACATAATTGACTATTCCCCTAGCTGCTCGTTTTCTCTTGGAACATGTGGATCCTTTCTCCTTCAACCTACTCTTCTCTTTTGAATATTGAAGTCCTCACAGTCATCTTTGGAGAAAGGCACAAATCACAGACTCTTTCTGTAATTTCGTGTTCTTCTAGTCATGTCCTTAACAAGTTAGCTAAATTCCTAAAGTAATTGAGACCTGTCTCAGACACTTTTTGGTTTACAGAGGAAAGACGCATCAAGAATGACTCAAGCCTTTAGGTCTGAACACTTGATTGTGGGGCCATTTGCCAAGATAGAGAAGATGGGCTGGAGCAGCTAGGTATGGGAAGTTGTGAGGCTTGAGAAACTGCTTAGAGAAGCAAAGGAGATGTCAAGAAAGGTAATGGAGTGTAGGAGTCTACATGGGAGGCATCTTCAGGCACAATGAGTTACCAGGGCGTAGAGATGATGTTTAAAGACTTGGGTCTAGGGGGCTGGGTGCAGCGGCTCCTGTCTGTAATCCCAGCACTTTGGGAGGCCAAGGCCGGCTGATCACCTGAGGTCAGGAGTTCGAGACCAGCCTGACTACATGGAGAAACCCTATTGTTGGGGACCAGCCTCAACACCACCCGTAGGGTACACGAAGTCCGGTGGCGACAAAGGAATGAGAAGAGACAGATTAGGAGTTCATAAAGGTGGGAGCCAGGGGCCCAGTTGGAAAATGGAGGCTGCAAAAGGTCCAGAGTTCTGGTCTCCACACTATTTATTGAGTATAGTCACTTAAATTTAAGAAATAGACGTTCAGGGCGAAACAGTGAAAGAGAAGCAGTGCATCATAGGCATAATTTATAGCAATAGCGGTTTAAATGAATCTCGTTTGTGCTTAAACAGCATATCTGTAACTTACCGGTGAGTAGCTAGTGGGAGCGGGCTTAACTAGGACCCTGCATGTCTGTCCACGTTCCAGAGCTTTAAAGGAGTGTCTTTCTCCTTGAACACAGTGTTTAAAAGATAAGAGAGCAGGTCTTGATCTGAGCATGGGAACATGATGGCAATTTTAGGAGGCTTTCCTCCTCAGAGGCCTCTTGTGGCTTTTCACAACTTACTGTCCCATATTTTTATGGCCAGTTTATACAGGCACCCGATAAGCCTTTTTCCCAACACCCCCATCTCTACTAAATACAAAATACTCGGGAGGCTGAGGCAGGAGAATCCCTTGAGCCCAGGAGGGGGAGGTTGCAGTGAGCCGAGATTGAGCCATTGCACCCAAATCTGGGCAACAAGAGCGAGACTTTGTCTCAAAAAAACAAAACTTGGGTCTAGGGGTGGGTGCAGAAGAGGCCCTAGGTCCGGATATGAAGGGAAGGTAATCAAACCTTATTGAGATCAAACTCATTTAGCTGAAGATAAAAATATTAAATCCTTACAGTGCTTTAGAAGTTACGGAAGTGTTTGGCATCTTCACTCCTCCGACTGTAGGAGTGCTTCTGTGCTAGGGCCTTTGCACTTGGTGTTTGCACGTGGTGGGTAAGGCCTGGAGGCATCTGACAAATAGAGCCAGCTCCTTGATGGATAAGACCTAGAAGTACTCCCTTTGGAAGGTTGTTAGCTTAGTGTGTAAAATTGGGCTTTGTTGTCCCAAGATAGGGTAGATTGTGAATGTAACCTACTTAATCTAAGAAACGGACTTAAAGGTACCAAAATACGGTATGTAGTATATGGTGATTCACATACACAGGCTTTAAATTATTCTTGTAGTTCAGGAACTTGTTACACTGGGAGACCCAGACTTGAACCTCTTGATACACTAGTGAGGATGCTTGTATCCAATCCTGGACAGGCCTCTATTGAGTCAACTTAATTTTCAGTTAATTACTTAATTTGATTTCATGCCTTTCTACTGTTTTTAGAATCTGGAAATTTAGTTTTAGAAATCCAGTTTAAGTTTCTCTTGAGTTGTGTGGCTGTAAGGGAAGAAATCATAATTACATAAATATTAGTCGTTATTGCAATTGTATTTTCCAAACATAGCATTTGGTTTACAGCTAAAATAGGTTGCTTATTTGTTGTAATTAAAGTTAGTTATCTAGCTTATTTTTTTTGTGACGGAGTCTCACTGTCATCCAGGCTGGAGTGCAGTGGCATGATCTCACCTCACTGCAACCTCTGCCTTCCAAGTTCAAGCAGTTCTCCTGCTTTAGCCTCCGAGTAGCTGGGACTACAGGCATGTGCCACCACACCCGGCTGTTTTTTTTTTTTTTTTTTTTCTTTTTGAGATAGAGTCTTGCTCTGTTGCCCAGGCTGGAGTGCAATGGCACGATCTCAGCTCACTGCAACCTCTGCCTCCCGGGTTCAAGCAATTCTGCCTCAGCCTCCTGAGTAGCTGAGATTACAGGTGCACACCACCACACCTGGCTAATTTTTGTATTTTTAGTAGAAACGAAGTTTCACCATGTTTGTCAGGCTAGTCTCGAACTCCTGACATAGCGATCCACCCGCCTTAGCCTCCCAAAGTGCTGGGATTACAGGCGTGAGCCACCATACCCAGCCTAGTTTTTGTATTTTTGGTAGAGGCAGGGTTTTGTGTGTGTGTGTGTGTGTGAGTGAGATGGAGTCTCACTCTGTCACCCAGGCTGGTAACAGAGCTTGCTCACTGCAAGCTCCACCTCCCAGGTTCGTGCCATTCTCCTGCCTCAGCCTCCTGCCTCAGCCTCCCGAGTAACTGGGACTACAGGCGCCCGCCACTGCACCTGGCTAATTTTTTGTATTTTTAGTAGAGACGGGGTTTCACCGTGGTCTCGATCTCCTGACCTTGTGATCCGCCCGCCTTGGCCTCCCAAAGTGCTGGGATCACAGGCATGAACCACAGCGCCCGGCCCGAGTAGAGGCGGGGTTTCATCATGTTGGCCAGGCTGGTCTCAAACTCCTGACCTTGTGATTTGCCTGCCTCGGCCTCCTAAAGTGCTGGGATCACAGGCATGAGCCTATGCACCCGACCCAGTGTCTAGTTTTAATATCAGTAATGACCAACAGAAAAACGGGGTAGAAAAATAAAAATGTGAGCTTATGTTTGATGTATAAATAAGATACATCAATTTGAACTGCCAGAATTTGGGGCATCAAGCCTTAAGCTTTCAAGTTTCCTGATTTTTAAAAAAAATTTTAATTATTATTTTTTTGAGGCGGCATTGTTGCTCTGTTGCCCAGGCTGGAGTGCAACCTCCATCTCCCAGGTTCAAGTGATTCTCTTGCCTCAGCCTCCCGAGTAGCTGGGATTACAGGCACCTGCCACCACACCCAGCTGATATTTGTATTTTTAGTAGAGATGGGGCTTCACCATGTTGGCCAGTCTGGTCTTGAACTCCTGACCTCAGGTGATCCGCCTGCCTCAACCTCCCAAAGTGCTGGGATTACAGGCGTGAGCCACCATACCCGGACTATTATTTATTTATTCATTTATTTTTTGAGATGGGGTCTCTCTCTGTCTCCCAGGCTGGAGTGCAGTGCGTGATTTCGGCTCACTGCAACTCCGCTGGTGGATCACTGCAACTTCCACCTCCTGGGCCCAAGGGATTCTCCTGCCTCAGCCTCCCGAGTAGCTGGGATTACAGATGTGAGCTACCACGCCCAGCTAAGTTTTTGTATTTTAGTAGAGATGAGGTTTCACCATGTTCCCTGGCTAGTGTGGAACTCCTGAGCCCAGGCAGCTGGCCTTGGCCTCCCAAGGTGCTAGGATTACAGGAGTGAGCCACTGCCTGGCCATAAATTTCCTGATATTGACTGAAGACTACCTTGAGCTTGAGATGGAACTGAGCTCCTGGATTTGGTTTGACTCAAGTGTAGGGAGTACTTTGCCAGTAGATGGAGTCCTGGTACAGCAGGGACTCTGACTTATACTCCTCCGTACACATTGTAATCATAGTGTATGTAACATTCTGAATTATAAATTACATGCACCTGAAAGGTAAACGGCTATGTTAGCTATTCTATATTACTATTTATTTATTTTTTGAGACGGAGTCTCTATTGCTGAGGCTGGAGTGCAGTGGTGCAATTTCGGCTCACTGTAGCCTCCGCCTCTGGGGTTTAAGCAGTTCTGCTTCAGCCTCCCTAGTAGGTGAGATTACTGGTGTGCACCACTGCACCTGGCTACTTTTTGTATTTTTATGTTATTTTTGTATTTTATTTTAACATGGCGGGGTTTCGCCCCCATGTTTGCCAGGCTGGTGTCGAACTCCTTATCTCGGGTCATCCACATGCCTCGGCCTCCCCAAAGTGCTGGGATTACAAGTATGAGCCACCGCCCCCTGCCACCATATATATTTTTTTGAGATAGAGTCTTGCCCTGTTGCCCAGACTGGAGTGCAGTGCCAGGATCAAGGCTTATCCAGCCTTGACCTCCTGGGCTAGAGTGATCCTCCTGCCTGGGCCTCCTACGTAGCTGGGACTACAGGCATGCCCCATTGTGCTTGGCTGTTTGTTTATTTTGGAGATGAAGTTTCAACCTTTTTATTAAAATCAACTTCTCACAATGTATAAATGCTGCATATTAGCACACATGAAAAAGACAACTTCTAAGGTACCCAGAAATGTGTTCATACATGTTACAGGAGCATTCACAGAGTGGACAATTTGCTCTAGACAGTCAGCATTGGATAAATCAGAAGATTATCATCCCTCAGTACTGTACCCGGTCTCAGTAAATATTTACAACATGGTGAGAAGGTGTCAGCTGTACCTGCTTTCTAATTCTATGAAGTACTCAGACTTACAGATAATTCAGAACTAAAGACTCTCCCATGATAATCTGGCAAAATAAAACAAGTAGTCTAAAGTCTCAGTGACTTTGGTGTGTGTTACTTCCATGATCAAATCCAAACACTCCTGGGGTGGGCTGGGTAAGTTTTTGGTAGCCTGCTTCATTATCAGAAGTTTGGTAATAAGCCTTACCAATAGAATACCATTTCTTCAGCATCAGTCATTTCTCAGCTGGTTAATGGATCAATGATATCATCATGAATGAGAATGGAGAAGAACTGAAGACAATTCTTCTCACACTTAACAGGAATTAGGATGGGTCAGTGCAGTCCGGGTGTGGTGGCTCACGGCTGTAATCCCAGCACTTTGGGAGGCCGAGGCGGGTGGATCACCTGAGGTTGGGAGTTCGAGACCAGCCTGGCCAACATGGAGAAACCCAGCCTCTACTAAAAATAAAAAATTAGCTGGGCGTGGTGGCTCATGCTTGTAATTTCAGCTACTCGGGAGGCTGAGGCGGGAGAATCGCTTGAACTTGGGAGGTGGAGGTTACAGTGAGCTGAGATCACGCCACTGCATTGCAGTTTGGGCAACATGAGCGAGACTCCATCTCAAAAAAAAAAAAAAAAAAATGGGTCAATGCAGAACAGAAGGAGGCAGACATTTGGCAAGTGCAGGATCCTACTGTTTAGTATAGACGTGTCTGAAAAATTCTTATCCTGGAGGTTCATATTCAGATGAAGGAGTCTACACTGGCCAGATAACCTGGAGGAATGCCCGACCTGCACTTTTATGATACGGATACAGGCTTGGGACTACACAGCGGAAACACCCACCTGAGAGGGCCTCAGTTAGAGACTTACCTTGCAGATCCTTCTCAGTTTGACAACACATCCCTCTGTATGGCCAGCCAGGGGGCACGAGGTTGGTGGTAGTGAGTAGTTGCTCTGCACCATCAAGCATGCACATATCTGTCTAGATGTGCCCACAATCTATGGAACTTGGGCTTTGTTAGAATAATGGAATTCTTTGGTCCTCGGTTTTATGAAAGGCAATGTTGTCACAATCCTGTCAACATTGACATTGGGAGTGATTGCAAGCTGGGGACTAATGGCATAGGGACAAATTAAATACTAAATGGGAAACTCTACAGTCTCCGAACTTCTCAGAGTCAGCTTCATGAGCTCCAGCATCAGGCTGGATGTTGGATCAGTGAGATAAGGCTAACCCATAGAAATGCCAGAACTGAAGCTGAAAACTAGATATGGTTTTTCTGACTACCCCACACACTGCAAAAATTCGAAGCAAATCTCCATCTTAATGTCTGATACGGTGGCTTTATAAACACATACCGGAGATGAACCAAATAACTTGATTTTAGCCATATGATAGCTCTGGACTACTGAAGTGTGGACACCCAAAAGGAATCATAATTTAGTTTGAAGTCTTAAATTCTAGTTGGTTTTATTAGACCTCCCAAACACAGTGGGCACGCTGCCAAGGAGCTCCGTGACTTCTGCTCTAGTGACAGCCCTGGGTAGATTCAACTGATAGGTTCTGTTCTACATCATGTTTGCTTTTGTCCTGCTAAACTCCAGTTTAGTATGGCTTGATACAGATAGTTCACTGATTTAATGCTTTTATTTTTTTGGGTGGGGGGTAGAGATGAAGTCTCACTATCTTGCCCATGCTGGTCTTGAACTCCTGGGTTCAGGTGATCCTCCTATCTTGGTTTCCCAAGTGCTAGTATTACAGGCGTGAGCCACTGTGCCCCACCAGCCTTTGAATATTTCTTGACATACAGTTTGAAAGGAAACAAAGTACGTATCATGGTTCAGTAGCATTTTCATTTTATTGCAGCTTTACCACTCCTGAAGGCCCTAAACCCCGTTCCAGATGCTCTGACTGGGCAAGTGCAGTTGAAGAAGATGAAATGAGGACCAGAGTTAACAAAGAAATGGCAAGGTACACATTTTGGACCACTTTGAAGTGTTAATCTGTGGCATTTTCAGTAACACATTAAATTTGGTATATGTCTTATAACAGTGGTTCTCAAAGGTCTGGGCTCCAGACCAAAGGCATCAACATTTACTGGGAACTTGTTGGAAATACAGATTCTCAGACCCTTCCCTGGGCCTGCGAATGGGGTGGGGCCTGGCCATCCTGTGAAAAGCCCTGCAGGTGAGTCCACTCTTTCAAGCTTGGAGACCACTGTGTTCCTGGTGGTAATCCTTCTGAGAGTGGAAGTAGGTGCACAGTGGTGTTACTGCTGGATTGCAGGCTGGAGGACTATCAGAAACTTTCTTTTTTTTTTTTTTTTTTGAGACGGAGTCTTGCTCTGTCGCCCGGGCTGGAGTGCAGTGACCGGATCTCGGCTCACTGCAAGCTCCGCCTCCCGGGTTCACACCATTCTCCTGCCTCAGCCTCCCGAGTAGCTGGGACTACAGGCGCCCGCCACCTCGCCCGGCTAGTTTTTTGTATTTTTTAGTAGAGACGGGGTTTCACCGTGTTAGCCAGGATGGTCTCGATCTCCTGACCTCGTGATCCACCCGTCTCGGCCTCCCAAAGTGCTGGGATTACAGGCTTGAGCCACCACGCCCGGCCCTTTTTTTTTTTGGAGATAGAGTCTTGCTCTGTCGCCCAGGCTGGAGTACAGTGGCAAAATCTCGGCTCACTGCAAGCTCTGCCTCGCGGGTTCAAGAGATTCTCCTGCCTCAGCCTCCTGAGTAGCTGGGATTACAGGCACAGGCCACCACACCTGGCTAATTTTTGTATTTTTTGTAGAGATGGGGTTTCACCATGTTGGTCAGGCTGGTCTCGAATTCCTGCTCCGCCCACGTTGGCCTCCCAAAGTGCTGGGATTACAGGCATGAGCCAGTGTGCCCGGCCTAACTATCAGGCACTTACTACAGTCATTTGTTACCACTGACCTTCTGTGTGCGGTGCTCACACAACCCAGCACACTAGATGGAGTGCTCTCTCCAGATGAAGGAATACATTGACACTGGCTCAGGCAACAAACACAGCTCAGAAATGCCAACATCCAAGGAAAGGTCTCAAACTTGGATTCTGTGAACCTCTTGCAGTTGTACACAAGATTGTGTGTGTATCCAAGTTACCACAAACTAAGCTACTTCCTCTTCGTTGACTCATTACCTAATGCATCCTTAACCACTGTTTAATCTCCCTTGATTATCAGTGTGTTGGTCCTTTCTCTTTTGATGAGTTGCCTAACTCAAACCCAGTTGCATGGACTGGGTTTATTCAAACCGAGTTAAAATGTGGCTTATAATTAGTTGAAGTATTTTACAAGATAATTTTAGCCAACAGCTGGCTGATAAACAGGGTCTTGAGAAAAAAGTGTCTTGCGTGTCAGCCACGGAATCATACCTAGACTACCTGTTCTCATTTTGGCAGCCAGTGATGGTGTTTATAGCTGCCTCCTTTGAAAAGGGACAGGAATATGTGGGAATTGGTTGTTGAACATTTGGGGGAGTTATTTGTAATTTCTTCTGGTATCAAAATGTTTGGGTGGATAGTATGCCTTGGTAAAAGAAATGAAGTAGGAGTTCACGGATGTGAGTATCAATATTTTTCGTGAATTACTGTATTTATATAGGTCTTCACTTTCTCAACTATAAAATTAGAATGTTAGCCGGGCGCGGTGGCTCACACCTGTAATCCCAGCACTTTGGGAGGCCGAGGCGGGTGGATCACGAGGTCAGGAGATCGAGACCATCCTGGCTAATACAATGAAACTCCGTCTCTACTAAAAATACAAAAAATTAGCCGGGTGTTGTGGCAGGCGCCTGTAGTCCCAGCTACTCGGGAGGCTGAGGCAGGAGAATGGCGTGAACCCGGGAGGCGGAGCTTGCAGTGAGCCGATATCGTGCCACTGTGCTCCAGCCTGGGCGACAGAGCGACACTCCGTCTCAAAAAAAAAAAAAAAGAATGTTGACTTTACCCGTATAGTTGGTGTTGCATTCACAAGTCTTAGAGCAGTTCTTGCATACCTATGGCCTAGTTGCTCCGTCACGTCACCCCTTGCCAGGGATTGTCTGCAACTCATATTCAGGCATATTCTACCTGTCTAGATTGTCCTGTGAGTGGATCCCTATTTATTCTTCAGATATCTCATGGGTCTGTGCCTGAAACTTGTCTTGTTTTGGAAAACAGCACTGTTTGGACTACTCTTGTTGATTATACCCTTTGTGATGGAAAGCTGTGGCTTTTATTTATTATTATTTTTTGAGATGGGGTCTTGCTCTGTTGCCCAGGTTGGAGTGCAGTGGTGCAATCTCGGCTCACTGCAACCTCTGCCTCCCAGGTTCAAGCGTTTTACTGCCGCAGCCTCCTGAGTAGCTGGGATTATAGCCATGTGCCACCACATCCGGCTAATTTTTGTATTTTTAGTAGAGGCTGGGTTTCACCATGTTGGCCAGGCTGGTCTCAAACTCCTGCCCTCAGGTGATTCGCCCACCTTGGCCTCCCAAAATGTTGGGATTATAGGCGTGATCCACTGTGCCCGGCCAAAGCTGCAACTTTTAGTGCGACCTGTGTAATTTAAAACCTCCCGGCCCTTTAGTGAGCCGTTACTGGCAGGCCAGCTTGCTTCCCAACAGTATGGGTATGAAATGTCAGCTTACTGTGCTTTAAGGAGACTAACAGACTACAAACTAGCAGTATAAGAGTATGAAAATTGATTTTTGGCATGGCACGGTGGCTCATGCCTGTAATCCCAGTACTTTTGGAGGCCAAGGCTGGTGGATCACCTGAGATCAAGAGTTCGAGACCAGCCTGACCAACATGGAAAAACCCCATCTCTATTAAAAATACAAAATTAGCTGGGTGTGGTGGCTCATGCCTGTAATCCCAGCTACTTGGGAGGCTGAGGCAGGAGAATCACTTGGGACCCGGGAGGCGGAGGTTGCAGTGAGCCAAGATCTCACCATTGCACTCCAGCCTAGGCAACAAGAGGGAACTCCGTCTCAAAAAAAAAAGAAAATGGATTTTCATCATACCTGAAACCAGTCTTTCTCATCTGTGGTACTGGAGAGAATGAGGCCCTGTAGCACATGATTTGCAGGACTAATCTCTGAATCATACAAAGATGGTGTTATACAGCTAGTGCTACTCTAGATAGGAGATAGCACAGGAGATATTACTTCATTACCTTCTGGCGTCCAAGCTGCACTGAACACCTCAGCAAACTTGGGTGGATTTTAGATTTTAAGAGGAGGCACAGTGATACATGACATAATTTAGATGCCTGCATGACCGGCCAGGCGTGGTGGCTCACTCTTGATCTCAGTACTTTTGAGAGACTGGGAGGATCGCATCAGCTCAGGAGTGCAAGAGCAGCCTGGGCAATATAGACCTCCATCTCTCCAAAAAAAAATTTTTTTTGGAGATGGGTGTGGCGGCACTTGCCTGAGTCCTAGCTGCTTGGGAGGCTGAGGTGGAATGACTGCTTCAACCCAGCAGTGTGAGGCTGTGGTGAGCCGCCATGATCGTGCTGCTGTACTCTAGCCTGCGTGACAGAGCGAGACTCCATCTCAAAAAAAGATACCCACATGAACTTGGAGCTCAAGGTAGTTCGTGGTTTCAACGTTAGATTGCGCTAGACTCCTTTTGGAGATGTCATATTTCTGTTTTTTGCAAAGCCGTGTTCTGGTAATGACTGCAATAGAAAGCAGATGCCTCAGGAAGTTCATGAGGAACAAGACAAAAGGGGGCATGTTTGGTCTCCAAGATTGGAGAAGGTATGCAGTGCCCAGTAGGCATACGGGTCCCATTAGTAAGTGTGGTGTTTTTAAAATAAAAATATATTTCAATTTGTGTTTTCTTTTTCTTTCTTTAAGGCTGCTAAGTTTTTGGGGATGTACATTTTTGTTGTGTGGATCTCACTACTTAAACTGAACCTGACAAGGATTTCTTTTGGCCCAGGGAGCTTCTGGATTTCATAGGATGGTGTGCCTGAGGGTATCAGGGTGGAGCTTCCTCAGACCTGGCTGCTTTATTTTTATACCTTTTTTAAAAACAGCAATATTTATTTTGCCCTCAGATATAAAAGGAAACTTCTCATCAATGACTTTGGAAGAGAGAGAAAATCATCATCAGGAAGGTAAAGGTTGTGTAAATGATTCTTTTCTAATTTGATAGACCTGTAATTTGTTAAAAAAAAAAAATTGTGACTGTCAGAAATGCTGATTGTCACAGTAGCATTTTATTAATACTTTCTTCACTGATTTGAAATACTATATCTGTTGTGTACTAAATTCCCATACATGCAGTCTCTGGACTGTTGAGGATTAATATGGTTTGGAATCTGGAGTGAATCCTCCATTATTGTGTTTTGACATTTTCTTGGCTTACCTTACATGGTGATCTTAATTGCAGGGCTTATTCTGTTAATCTGTTGTTTTTTCAGTTCTGATTCAAAGGAGTCTGTGTCCACTGTGCCGGCTGACTTTGAGACAGATGAAAGTGTCCTAATGAGGAGACAGAAACAGATCAACTATGGGAAGAACACAATTGCCTACGATCGTTATATTAAAGAAGTCCCAAGGTAGTCTTGTCTCAGTGGCATGTCTTGAACAAACCCTGTAGCATTGCATTTCTAAAGAGTTGCTTAGATTGTGTAGTACAGATGATGCTGGGGATAGTTCACACCTACTAAGAGCTATTTAATAGAGACTTACTGGGACTTATGACGTAAATAAAGAATGGATTGGCAACTAAAAAACTAAAGACGTGAAGATTTTAAAAATCATTTTCAGAATTTTGAATGTTAGATAACATTTTATTTCTTAGGAGTCAGCAATTATATAGATGTAAACTTATTAAAATACATGATGGGGAAAAAATGAAGTTCAAGTTAAATACTGTAAAATTCTAATTGGAGAAAAATAATTGGCATTGCCCTATTTCCTTTAAGCAGCATGTTCTTGCCTATCTTGCTCCGTCAAACACACAGACACAAAAGGATATAAAGAAAGCTTTAGTGTTTTCCTGAACTTTTTGGCAGGATTGGGGTTGAAATTTAGTTTTCTGGGCCAGGTGCAATGGTTTATGCTTGTAATTACAGCACTTTGGGAGGCCAAGAGGACCACTTGAGGCCAGGAGACTAGCCTGGGCAATACAGGGAGACCTCATCTCTACAAAAAATTTTAAAATTAGCCAGGCGTGGGCCGGGCGTGGTGGCTCATGCCTGTAATCCCAGCACTTTGGGAGGCCGAGGCGGGTGGATCACAAGGTCAGGAGATTGAGACCATCCTGGCTAACACAGTGAAACCCCGTCTCTACTAAAAATAGCTGGGTGTGGTGGCGGTTGCCTGTAGTGCCAGCTACTCAGGCTGAGGCAGGAGAATGGTGTGAACCCGGGAGGCAGAGCTTGCAGTGAGCTGAGATCGCGCCACTGCACTCCAGCCTGGGCTGCAGAGTGTGAGACTTTGTCTCAAAAAAAAAAATTTTTACTTTTGGCCGAGTGCAGTGGCCCACACCTGTAATCCCAGCACTTTGGGAGGCTGAGGCAGGCGGATCATGAGGTTGGGAGATGGAGACCGTCCTGGCTAACACGGTGAAACCCCGTCTCTACTAAAACTACAAACAGTTCGCTGGGGGTGGTGGCGGGCGCCTGTAGTCCCAGCTACTCGGGAGGCTGAGGCAGGAGAATCGCTTGAACCTGGGAGGAGCAGGTTTCAGTGAGCCAAGATTGCACCACTGCACTCCAGCCTGGGTGACAGAGCAAGACTCCATCTCAAAAAAAAATTTATTTATTTATTTTTAAAAATTTTTTGGAACATAGATAGCAAAGGAATAGTAAGATTCAATGTGATAGTGCTTTTTTGTTTCCTCCTGAGTCTTGCTGTGTTACCCAGGCTGAAGTGCAGTGGCATGATCATGTCTCACTATGTATTTATTTAATTTTTTTTTTTTTTGAGATGAAGTCTCGCTCTGTCGCCCAGGCTGGAGTGCAGTGGCCGGATCTCAGCCACTGCAAGCTCCGCCTCCCGGGTTTACGCCATTCTCCTGCCTCAGCCTCCCGAGCAGCTGGGACTACAGGCGCCCGCCACCTCGCCCGGCTAGTTTTTTTGTATTTTTTAGTAGAGACGGGGTTTCACCGGGTTAGCCAGGATGGTCTCGATCTCCTGACCTCGTGATCTGCCCGCCTCGGCCTCCCGAAGTGCTGGGATTACAGGCTTGAGCCACCGTGCCCAGCCTATTTTATTTTTTTGACATGGAGTCTTGCTCTGTTGCCCAGGCTGGAGTGCAGTGGTGCAGTTTCGGCTCACTGCAACCTCCGCCTCCTGGGTTCAAGTGATTGTCTTGCCTCAGCCTCCTGAGTAGCTTGGATCACAGGCGCACGCCACCACACCCGGCTAATTTTTATATTTTCAGTAGAGATGGGGTTTCACCATATTGGCCAGGCTGGTCTTGCACTGCTGACCTCATGATCTGTCTGTCTCCGCCTCCCACAGTGCTGGTATTACAGACGTGAGCCACCGTGCCTGGCCATCATGGCTCACTGTAGTCTTGAACTCCTGGCCTCCAGCAATCCTCCCACCTCAACCTCCTGAGTAGCTGGGACTAGCAGTGCATGCCACCACACCTGGCTAAATTTTAAAAATTTTGTAGAGATGGGAGTCTCCCTGTGTTGCCCAGGTTGGTCTTGAACTCCTGGCCTCAAGTAGTCCTCCCAAAGTACTGGGATTACAAGCGTGAGCCGCTGTGCCAGGTGGATAGTGCTTTTTTTTTTTGAGACGAAATTTTGTTCTAGTTGTCCAGGCTGGAGTGCAATGGTGCAATCTTGGCTCACTGCAACCTCCACCTCCCAGGTTCAAGTGATTCTCCTGCCTTAGCCTCCAGAGTAGCTAGGATTGCAGGCATGCGCCACTATGCCCGGCTAATTTTTTTGTATTTTTAGTACAGATGAGGTTTCTCCATGTTGTTCAAGCTGGTCTTGAACTCCCGACCTCAGGTGATCCACCTGCTTCGGCCTCCCAAAGTGCTGGGGTTACAGGCGTGAGCCACCGTGCCCGGCCCAGATAGTGGTTTTTTTTTTTTTTTTTTTTTACATATTTGTTTGTTTTGTAGAATCTCAGTTGATTTTTTATTTATTTAATTTTGAGACGGAGTCTCGCTCTCGCCAGGCTGGAGTGCAGTGGCGTGATCTCAGCTCACTGCAACCTCCGCCTCCTGGGTTCAAGAGATTCTCCTGCCTCAGCCTCCTGAGTAGCTGGGATTACAGGTGTGCACCACCATGCCTGGCTAAGTTTTTGTATTTTTAGTAGAGACGGGGTTTCACCATGTTGGCCAGGCTGGTCTTGAACTTTTCTGATCTCAGGTGATCTGTCTGCCTTAGCCTCCCAAAGTGCTGGGATTACAGCGTGGACCACAGTGCCCGACTTTTGTTTTTGTTTTGTGTTTTTTTTTTTTTTTTTTTTTTTTTGGAAAAAGTCTCGCTGTTTTTTTTTTTTGAGACGGAGTCTCGGCTCACTGCAAGCTCCAGCTCACTGCAAGCTCCGCCTCCCAGGTTCACGCCATTCTCCGGCCTCGGCCTCCGAGTAGCTGGGACTACAGGCGCCCACCACCTCGCCCGGCTAGTTTTTTTTATATTTTTAGTAGAGATGGGGTTTCACCATGTTAGCCAGGATGGTCTCGATCTCCTGACCTCGTGATCCACCCGCCTCGGCCTCCCAAAGTGCTGGGATTACAGGCTTGAGCCACCGCGCCCGGCCTGTTTTTTTTTTTTTTTTTTTTTTTTTAAAGGTGGAGTCTTGCTCTGTTGACCAGGCTGGAGTTGCAGTGGCATGATCTAGGCTCACTGCAACCATCGCCTCCCAGGTTCAAGTGATTCTTCTGCCTCAGCCTCTGCAGTAACTGGGACTCCAGGCATGAGCCACTATGCCTGGCTAATTTTTGTTATTTTTAGTAGATATGGGGTTTCATCATGTTGGCGAGCCTGATCTCAGACTTCTGAGTTCAAGTGATTTGCCGTGTCCAGCAGGGTTTTTTATTTTTGAGACGAAGTATCACTCTGTTGCCCAGGCTGGAGCAGCACGAACTCGGCTCACTGCAGACTCCACCTCACTGGTTCAGGCGATCCTCCTACCTCAGCCCCCCAGTAGCTAGGATTATAGGCACCACGAGCGGCTGATTTTTGTATTAGTAGAGACGGGGTTTTGCCATGTTGGCCAAGCTGGTCTTGAACTGCTGACCTCAGGTGATCCACCCGCCTCGGCCTCCCAAAGTGCTAGGATTATAGGTGTGAGCCACTGCGCCCAGCCCCTAGCTGTTTGTTTTTTGTTTTTGTTTTTTCTTTTTTTTTTTAATGATGGGGTCTTGCACTGTCACCCAGGCTGGAGTGCAGTGGCATAATCTCGGCTCACTGCTACCTCCATCTCCCGGGTTCTAAGCAATTCTCCTACCTCAGCCTCCCAAGTAGCTGGGACTACAGGCGCGCACCACCAGGGCCAGCTAATTTTTGTATTTTTAGTAGAGACAGGGTTTCACAATGTTGTCCTGGATGGTCTCGATCTCTTGACCTCGTGATCTGCCCGCCTCAGCTTCCCAAAGTGCTGGGATTACAGGTGTGAGCCACTGGCGCCTGGCCCTTTTTTTTTTCTTTTTTTTTAAAATAGAGATGAGGTCTCACTGTGTTGCCCAGGCCTTTTTTGAATTCCTGAGCTTAAGTTATCTTGGCATGACCTCCCAAAATGTTAGGATTACAGGTGTAAGCCACCACGCCTGGTGATCTATAATTTTAAAAATAATACTAATCTCATAGTTTGGTTAATCTTCGAGCTAATGTGGAAAGGTGAGTGGCATGTAGGCATGTGCTAGAATAATCTTTCTCCTGTAGACACCTTCGACAACCTGGCATTCATCCCAAGACCCCTAATAAATTTAAGAAGTATAGTCGACGTTCGTGGGACCAGCAAATCAAACTCTGGAAGGTGGCTCTGCATTTTTGGGATCCTCCAGCTGAAGAAGGATGTGATTTGCAAGAAATGTATGTCTTTATTGCATTCTTGTTCTGTGATTCTCTGATTGGTCCAGTGACTGGAGCAGCTGTGCATCACTGAGACGGGAGGTTCTGGTGCCACGTTCCCCAGCAGCTGTTGGCGAGCAGAGCAGCTGCTGCTGCAGCTTGGTGCCGAGTTCTTCTGTACTGGGTGGGAGGCAGCTGGAAGGAAGAGTTTGCCTCCTGGATTGAATTTATTTTTTCAAGCACAGTCAATCTGGGAATACAGGTTTTGTTTGTTGTTTTGCTGTTTTTATTGTTGGAGTTCTTTTCCCCTACAGTACAGCAATCTCTGGACTTTGTTTTTTAAATATAAATATCCTGAAAAGTATTTGTGTCATTTCTGTCCAACCATGAAAATAAAAGTTCTTAATTAAGGAAGGCTTTCTTTCCCTGTTGGCCTTTTTTTTTTTTTTTTTTTTTTTTTTGAGATGCTCTGTCACCCAGGCTGGAGTGCAGTGGTGTGATCTCGGCTCACTGCAACCTCCACCTCCTGGGTTCAAGTGGTTCTCCTGTCTCAGCCTCCTGAGTAGCTGGGATTATAGGCACGCACCACCACGCCGGGCTATTTTTTGTATTTTTAGTAGAGACAGGGTTTCACCATGTTGGTCAGGCTGGTCTCAAACTCCTGACCTTGTGATCTGCCCGCCTCAGCCTCCCAAAGTGCTGGGATTACAGGCGTGAGCCACCGCTCCCAGCCCTGTTGGCTTTTAAACTTGTGCCTAGTTGAAATGTCTCAGGCCTGAACTTTTGCTGCATCATGGGAATACCTGCTGACCAGGAAGGTAGAGAGAATGATCTTGTACCTCCCTCCTTCTATGTGGGGTTTCTTCTCAGCTCCCCTCTGGTCCTGAGCCTCTCCCTTCCTCAGACACATGTTTTAAACAAACAATTGAGTTTCTCCTCTGTGCTGGGAAATTTATATTAGAGACTGGCATCTTTGAAACGATTTGTAAGTGACTTAACCAGTTTATCCTGACAGATGTCATTTGGGTTTTTTTCCCCAGTGTGACACTATTGTCCCATTCTCTGAGTAGAAACTTGGAAAAAATTAGTGATGATGCATAGTATGTTCACAGTGCTTGTTTCTCCCCCTCAAAAATTGGGCTTATGAGTGCTGCTGTTTCCAAGGATGCTTGTGTGGTGAGCCCAGCAGATGTTTTTGCTGCTTCTCATTGCCACCAGCCTTCTCTCTGCTGGATTGATTGGGCTAGGGTTAAGTCTGTCAAATAGTCACTGAAAGCTGACCTCTCAGGGAGCCTAGGGGACACTGTCAGTGTCGTGTCCCCTAGGCTCACACAACAGTTGTGGCTATACCATATGGGTGGGGTTTGTCTGTAGCGAACAGACTTGAATTCAGCTGTGCCCCCATCTCCTGGGTTTGTTAAGTTAGTGCCTGATGCACCTATTGGATTTCGTTTAACAGACACCCTGTAGACCTTGAATCTGCAGAAGGCAGCTCCGAGCCCCAGACCAGCTCTCAGGACGACTTTGTAAGTACTTTCTTTGGATGAGTCTTTCAGCTTGGGGGTCGCAAGTGAATTGTTAACACATGCTGCCTTACAAACTGAAGTCTGGGCTGGGCACGGTGGCTCACGCATGTAATCCCAGCACTTTAGGAGGCCAAGGCGGGCAGATCATCTGAGGTCAGGATTTCAAGACCTGGCCAACATGGTGAAACCCTGTTTCTTCAAAATACAAATATTAGCCGGGCATGATGGTGGGTGCCTGTAGTCTCTGCTACTCAGGAGGCTGAGGCGGGAGAGTAGCTCGAACCCAGGAGGTGGATGTTTCAGTGAGCTGAGATCGCACCACTGCACTATAGCCTGGGCAACAGAGCAAGACTGACTCAAAAAAAAAAAGAAAAAAACCGTCTGCTGGGCACAGTGGCTCACGCCTGTGATCCCAGCACTTTGGGAGGCTGAGGCCAGCAGATCACCTGAAGTCAGGAGTTCAAGACCAACCTGGCCAACAATGGTGAAACCCCGTCTCTACTGAAAATACAAAAACTAGCCGGGTGTGGTCATGCAGGCCTGTAATCCCAGCTACTCAGGAGGCTGAGGCAGGAGAATCACTTGAACCTGGGAGGCAGAGGTGGTAATGAGCCGAGATTGCACCACTGCCCTCCAGCCTGAGTGACAGAGTGAGACTCTGTCTCAAAAGAAAACAGTTTTAAAATGTATCAATTTAAATGCTGTCTCCTGTTCTGAGACAGCCACTATTTGTGGTGTGGTCTAGGCTTTTAGAATTCTTTCTGTGCTTATAAACTATGTACATGGTCAGGTGCAGTGACTAGTGACTCCTTCCTATAATCCCAGCACAATGGGAGGCCAACCAAGGCAGCAGGAGGATTGCTTGAGCCCAGGAGTTCGAGACCAGCCTGGCCAACATATACTCCATCTCTACAAAATAAAAATAAAATGTGTGTACATCTAAACTTCACTGTCTTGTAAATAGTACATGTGGTTTCTCTTTGCAGTGTCACTATTAAAATCTCAGTTGCACGTGAAGTGTACACCTTGCTGTGCATTACGTCACATGATTTACCACATAAGCTGTGGGGGTGTAGGAAGTGGTCCCTGTTTTCAGGGTGAGATGAATGTCAGCTGACCCATGCTTCTGTTTTCCAGGATGTGTACACTGGCACACCCACCAAGGTTAGACATATGGACAGTCAAGTGGAGGACGAGTTCGATTTGGAAGCTTGTTTAACTGAACCCTTGAGAGACTTCTCGGCCATGAGCTAACTGCCACCTGGCGGCCAGGAAGAGAAACAGCTCCTCCCCGACTAGGTGGAAGGCTGGCCAGGCACCAAGCATGTGTGTGCACTTATACCTGGTGGTTTCTCTGTTAGTAGTCCATTATCTCATGATGAATTATTTTTGCCTTACTTTCTTAAGAAACATTAATAAGAAACATTAATTTTATGTATAGTGAGTGTATTTTGCATGTTTTAAATTGTAAATGGCGCTAAATCCAAGAAAGTGTACTTGAAGCAATCTTCCAGCAAGCTTAATTGCCTAATCCCTGTTGTCCTCCAGGGTAAGCTGACAGGTCTACTTAACTGGTTTTCCACAGGCACTTCAGTTGCTGCTTGTCAGATGGACTGTTTTGGATTTAACCGTGTAATCCATGGGACCAGTTGAGAGTCAGCTGCTTTTATAGGCATCAAAGTATTCTCAGACACCTTTAATATCTTTATGGAAACTTAGTTTTTGGCCTTTTACCAGTATGTCATAACAGCACTCTGAAGTCAGACATTGTTAAATTGAGCTATTAAACTAATGGGTTTTATGTAAGTTATATGGTCTTAATTTGGTACTTGTAAATAGCACTAGTTAGATTCTTTAGAATACTCCAAGAGTTAGGGCAGCAGAGCAGAGTGATTTAGAAAGAACATTTTAAAACAATCAGTTAATTTACCATGTAAAATTGCTGTAAATGATAATGTGTACAGATTTTCTGTTCAAATATTCAATTGTAAACTTCTTAAGACTGTTTTGTTTCTATTGCTTTTGTATGGGATATTGCAAAAATAAAAAGAACCTTCTTTAAGTGACTGAGGGTGTTGCCAGGTGGCCCAGCTGCCATGAGAGCGAGGGTCAGAGTTGTGTCTGCCTTTGTTGTGTCTGAAGCGAGTGGTACTGGGTAAAGCGCCTCCTTTATTTTTTTAATGTTAGTTTTTGATAGAGTTTTGCTCTTGTTGCCCAGGCTGGAGTGCAATGGTGCGATCTTGGCCCACTGCAACCTCGGCCTTCTGGATTCAAGCGGTTCTCCTGCCTCAGCTTCCTAAGTAGCTGGGATTACAGGCATGTGCCACCACGCCCAGCTGATTTTGTATTTTTAGTAGAGACAGGATTTCTCTAGGTTGGTCAGGCTGGTCTGGAACTCCCGACCTCAGGTGATCTGCCTGCCTCAGCCTCCCAGAGTGCTGGTATTACAGGTTTGAGCCACCGCGCATGGCAGGGCTGCCTTTCGTAGGTGTCATGTCATACTTGGTCTGATGCTTGTCAGGACTGGCATGGCAGCCTTCCCTGTCTCCTGGGACAGACCCTGCAGCAGGAAAAGCATCAGTCTGAGGGCGCCCCTTCCCCACTGTCTTCACCCTTGGACCCTGGCTGCTGCCTGCAGACCACTGGCCCATGACCACAGCCACATGTCCCGGAGATCCCTCCAAGTGATTCTGGGCTGGTCTCAAGCCAGGGGTGGGTCAGGTAACTTTGTTCTAGGAGGTTGAAGAGGGCAGAAGCCCTTGTTTACTTAGCTTGTTTATGGAGACCTCAAGCAGTGTCAGGTGGAGGGTGGTAGACGCGGGTTGTAGCATGTGCCCTGGTGACGAGACCCAGCTTTTTCAGGGTGGTAGGAGGTGCCTGATTAGGTGGCATTTGGGGAGGGCAGCAAGCAGAGGCCCCGAAGTGGGAGCACTTGCATTGACTTTTGAGAGTCCTAAAATGTGGGAGGAGCCAGCATGACTAAGCCTCAGTCTAGAGGAGGCAAAGGTGAAGGTCCTCGTTATGTGGTGACAGTTCAGTGGCACTGTGGCCTCCATCATGACTGCGATGGAGATAAACTCTCCCGGATTTGTCGCTAAGGAGCTGCTTCCCCTAAGCTGTGAGCAGGTCCTTGGCGACGAGCGGCACTCGGTGCCCTTAACGGCTAAAATTCAGTGACTTCCAAGCAAATATGACATCAAGAAGACAGCCGGAAAGGTGATCTAAGCTAAAGCTGAGGGTGTGGCATGAAATCGTCTGTTACAACCTTAGAAAGTTGAACCTTTCTCCTTTTTTTTGAGATGGAGTCTTGCTTTGTCTCACATGAGTGCAGTGGCGCAGTATCAGCTCACTGCAACCTCCACCTCGGTTCAAGCAGTTCCGCCTCAGCCTCCTAACTGGGATTACAGGCGTGAGCCACCACACCTGGCTAATTGTAGTTTTAGTAGAGACGGGGTTTTGCCACGTTGGCCAGGCTGGTCTTGAACTGACCTCGGGTGATGTGCCCTCCTCGGCCTCCCAAGGTGCTAGGATTACAGGTGTGAGCCACTGTGCCCAGCTGTTAGAACCTTTCTTTCCTGCAATAAGGCTTCTTGCTCCTCTGCAGGAGCCCAAGATGGTGCTATTCTGAAAAGCCCTGTGGGTGTGGCTTCTATTGAACCCTAGAGTCACAGAATTACACGGGCGGAAGCTGCTGCCAGCCTGGACTGAAAGGGCCAGGCAATACAAGAAGCCTTGAACCCTCTGGTTCTACCAGCGGGAAGTAGGAAGATCAAACCCTCCAGCTGCACAAACAGGCTGCCTTTCGTGAAAAGGAAGTGGGTGGAGCCAGGAGCCTGGAGGACTGAGGCTGGCCTGGTCAGGGGACTGCCAGGTGATGTGTGCCTAGCGGGATTTCAGACTTGCTGTGGGCCAGGGACTCCTGGGAGCATCTGCAGCAGGTGTCCTAGGTCTGTCCCCACTGTTCATTGGGGTGTGTGTGTGTGTGTGTGTGTGTGTGTGTGTGTGTGTGTGGTGGGGGCCAGGGACAGTCTTTACATGGAAAAGGGCTCAACACAGGAGCTGTCAGGGGCCTCCTCCACAAGGGAGCGGATTCAGATGAGATTCTGGGCTTTGGGTTGATGCTGTGGTGGGGTGAAACTTGGAGGCCTTGGCAGGGGATGAGCATATCTTGGTTTTGGAGGATTGTAAATGAGTTGTGGCCAGAGGGTGGACTGTAGTGATCTGACTGTGGAGCAGGGGAGAGGGATAGGGTCAGGGGAGGGTGCTGTGAGAAAGGCAGCAGCTGTGCTTAAGTACAGTGGGCAGCCAGGGGCCTTGGTAAGGGTGTGATTCCCGCTGTAGAAGAATAGCCCAGACTACTAGGTTTTGCTTCATATTTACATTTTTGGAATGCTCTTTTTGTTATTTTGTTTTTTGAGATGGAGTTTTGCTCTTGTTGCCCAAGCTGGAGTGTGATCTCGTCTCACTACACCTCTACCTCCCGGGTTCAAGCGATTCTCTTGCCTCAGCCTCCCGAGTAGCTGGGATTACAGGCACCCGCCACCACGCCTGGCTAGTTTTGTATTTTAGTAGAGACAAAATACAAAACAGGGTTTCACCATGTTGGTCAGGCTGGTCTCAAACTCCAGACCTCAGGTGATCCACCCACCTTGGCCTCCCAAAGTGCTTGGATTACAGGCGTGAGCCACTGCGCCCGGCCAAAATTCTTGGAATGCTCTTAAGCACTGAGGAAATAAATTTTCAGACTTTAGTTCTTGCCTCTCCTAACTGCTGTTAACATAATCTAGTATTTTTTTTTTTTTTTTTTTTTTTTTTGAGACAGAGTCTCACTCTGTCGCCCAGGCTGGAGTACTTTGTGCAATCTCGGCTCACTGCAACCTCTGCCTCCTGGGTTCAAGTGATTCTCCTGCCCCTGCCTCCTGAGTAGCTGGGACTACAGGTGCCCGCCACCATGCCCGGCTAATTTTTATATCTTTAGTAGAGATGGGGTTTCACCACATTGGCCAGGCTGGTCTCGAACTCCTGACTTTGTGATCTGCCTGCCTCAGCCTCCCAAAGTGCTGGGATTGTGGGTGTGAGCCACCGTGCCCAGCCAACATTATCTAGTATTTTCTGTATGAGTGTTACAAATAACCAATGGGCTTGGATTGAGTTGTCTTTATTCTTGACTCTTCTACCTCGAACCAAGCGTCAGAACTAAATTAAGTTTGCCCAGCATGATTAATTCTTCACAATCCCACACTGATTGCTTGCTATATCTCATCCTCATCAGTCAGTCATTTTCTTGTCTTTCCACACACAGCTGGGGTCAGCTTATCAGGGCTGTCATCCCACATCCCCTGACTGACTTTTTCCATGTATTATGAAGCTGTTCTTATTTCCTGCTGGCCTGTCAGGAACCTGTCCTTTGGGTTCTCTTTTTTAGCAATTCTGCCAGCAAGTTGCTGACTCCTCCGTCCCTGTGGAAGGAAGATGTCAATGGAGTCTCCCAGGAGTCAGCAGCCTCTGCTGAGCCCAAGGTCCAGCCACTTTTGGCTTTCTGGACCCGTGGGGATGGCTCTTATGATTAACTGGGTTTCAGGATCTTTTATTTGATTTAATTAATTATTTTTTTTGATACATAATTTCACTCTTTCGCCCAGGCTGGAGTGCAATGGTGCAATCTCGGCTCACTGAAAGCAACTTCTGCCTTCTGGTTTCAAGTGATTCTCTTGCCTTAACCTCCCAAGTAGCTGGGATTACAGGTGCACGCTACCACGCCCGGGTAATTTCTGTAATTTTTTTTTTGAGAGACAGGGTTTCACCACGTTAGCCAGGCTGGTCTTGAACTCCTGACCTCATGATCCACCTGCCTCAGCTTCCCAAAGTGCTGGGATTACAGGCATGAGCCACTGAGCCTGGCCTAATTTATTTTTTGAGACGGAGTCTTGCTCTGTCACCCAGGCTCAAGTGCAGTCACTCGATCTCAGCTCACTGCAGCCTCCGCCTCCTGGCTTCAAGCAGTTCTCCTGCCTCAGCCTCCTGAGTAGCTGGTATTATAGGGGCCCGCCACACCTGGCCAACATGGGGAAACCTCATCTCTACTAAAAATACAAAAATTAGCCGGATATGGTGATGCATGCCTATAGTCCTAGCTACTCAGGAGGCTGAGGCGTGAGAGTCACTTGAACCTGGGAAGCAGAGGTTGTAGTGAGCCGGGATTGCATCACTGAACTCCAGCCAGGGTGACCCTGCCTTTAAAAAAACAAAAAACAACAAAAAAAAAAACCAAAAAACTTGGTTTTTCTTTGTGCTTTGCTTTGTTTGCATTTTAATGTGCAGATGCAACCCAAGCCAGTTGGCAACAAACACACTGCGTCAAGTTTTCAGGAAAAGCCACTCTCAGACTCAATAGCTGAGGTTCCAACAAAGATGCTGTGTAGGACATTGGTGGCACCTGCTGCCTGGCCTGGCACTTTCCCTGTGGTGGGGTGTGGAATGCAGACCTGTCATCTCATCCCAGTTCTGCTTCATAGCTGCATGACTTGGCCTTCATGTTCCCGTCTGTGAAATGTGTATAGCATCTACTGCAGACGATGGCTGTAGGGGCTAAACAAGGGGGGGTGGGATGCCAGCCGCATAATAATAATAATGCAAGACAATGGGAGCTGTTGTTGCTGAGGGCCCCACTCATCCCTTAATTCCTCAGGCTGCACTAATAGGCTAAGGTCTTCAGGCAAGGATAACAACAGCAGGCACTTAGGAAGTGTGACGTTCACGGGGCATCCACACTGCTTCGTGGAGGCTGAGAGGGGACAGCTCTGCGCAAGGGGATCCCGGTCACCCCCCGCCAGGCCTCTGGAACCCAGTCCTCGTTGTGAACATGAACATGGGGGCGTGCGGCATCCCCTGGTGGTGGCCCCAGATGCAGTTTTGAGAGGGGTTTCCAGGTGTGACGGCTGACAGCACTGGCTATGGTCTTCAGAGAAAAGGCAGACCGAGTTTCCAGAGGCACCCCCACCCTTGGGCAGGAGTGCCGAGGCAGGGGCCTGCCACAGACACGGGCAAGCAGCGTGAGCCCAGGTGAG